TGCTGGTAAACGGATGGGTGGTCTGGATGGTGCTGAGTCACAGGATGAGGTGGTAGATGGTAAACGTATAGGGTGGTTGGGCGGAGTTGGAAGTGGCTGAAAGTGTTGGCGGAAAGTGGGATCCGCTTGGTGGCAGTGGTGGAGGAAAACAGTGTGGAGGTGTGCTACAATATCTGTTGCTTGTCGGAGCAGGTTTTGCACCTGCGAAAGTGCCACTGCGGTTCTGTGTATGAGAGTTGAGGTGTCGTTTTGTAGAGGTGTCGGTGTGCTGCTCATGATTCTGAGATGTAGGGGTGTACAGTAGCTAAGAATCGTCACAGGTTGCTGCAGCAGCGCGCCAAAGCAGCCGGACGGCGGCGAGTCTGAGGGAGCGCGTCATCACGAGGCCGTGCATATGAATTAAGCGAGCATCAAATTCCCACAGGCAAAAGTGCGAATATGCAATGCCGGTTGGACAATCAAGTACATGAGAATCTGACATGTGAAATACTCCATCAAAACAGCCGGTACAAATCGAAGGAAGATGTTTACAGCAAACACTGCAGAGCTTGAAAAATTGAGGGTTCAAAATTCGCGTGGCCGCTGCAGGAGGCTCTTTTTTGCTGCTACAGCAAAGGTTGGGTGGTGGTGTGAGACCAAAAGTGGATGTGGAGGTGGTAGTGGTGTGTAGTTGTGTGGTAGTGGTGTTATGGGTCCGGTGGAGTGGAGTTGGTGGACCAGGCCAGTCCTTTGACAATGGCGTGGTCCGGGTGGATCACCCAGCAGCGGCCCTTCTGATGAAAGACTGCACCATGGTGGTCGTTAAGGAGGTTCATGGCGTGTTCCTCACCTCCAGAGGTATATTTTGTGGCAGCACCCCAAGCAAGGAGTGTGATGATAAGGGAATGGGAATTCTTGTGGAGTTGCCAGGTGTTGTGGATGATGCGGGCAAGTTCGTTGTGGTCATGGGGTTGGTTGTGGGTGATGCGAACGCCCTGGGCAAAAAATCCAGGGTAGTTGGCAAAGTGGAGTGTGCTGGGTAAAAATCGGCCTTGGCGTAGAATGTTGGAAATGTTGCCGACGGGGCCTGTGTGGCCTGCGTTGATGTGGGCGACTTCCCGGTGGGTTGATGTGGCGCGGGAAACCGCAGGTGGCTCTGGTGTAGTGGCTTTGGTGTTGAGGAAGGGAAGTGAAATGGCGTAGTACTGGAATTGGTCGTATTGGTGAGTTGTGTCGTTCCACTTGGCGTGGGTATATTGTCGGAAATCGGTGATCTCCTTGTAGGTGATGTTGCAGTCTGTGAGGATATTGGCAATGTACTGGTGTTGTGGTCGGTTGGGATTGTCGAGTTGGGTGGCGTGGAATTCGAGCCATTCCAGGATTTGGTCTGCAGGTGTAAAGGTGTGAAAGTTGGGTGGAGGTCGCCAACGGTTGATTGGGCGACGGAGGACGGCAGTGGTGGGAAATTGAGAGGGGTCTGGGTTGGAGTGTTCGGTGTTAGGGCGTAGGTCAATGGGTTGTGGTGGTGAGCGACTGCGGGATGGTGTAAGGCTGGATGTGTAAGTGGATGTTGAAGGCGACCGCCGTCGCCGGGTTGTGCTGTGATGTTTGGAGTGGCGGTGATGGTGATGTCGGCGGCGGTGGCGGTGGCGTCCTCTGTGGTGATGGTCGGACTTGCGTCGGCTCTTGTGGTGGTGGCGGCGACTGCTGTGTGGTGGTTGCGGGGAAGGTGGTTGCGGTGCTGGTGAGGCAGTGGTGTCAGGTTTGTCTGGTGCTGGTAGTGAAGATCCAGGCGCTGGTGTGGCAGATACTAGCGATGGGGATGCTGAATGTTGGGATACGGTAGCTGGTGGGGGCGTGTTTTGGACCGGCAATGGATTGTTCTGGGCAGTCGTGGGGATGGGTTGGATTGGTGGTGTTGGATCCGATGGTGGCTGCTGTTGAAGTGGAGGTTGGACTGGTGTTGAGGCGTTGATGGTTTGTGGAGGCGGTGGCGGGGGCAACGGTTGGAGTGGAGGCTGTGTGACGGGGGGAAAAACTGAATAGGGTTGCCAAACGCCCTGGGGGATGGCGCATTGGGGGTCTGTGGATGGATGATTGGCAATCGCAGTCTGTTGCTGTGTTGGAGGGGGATGTGTCTGTGTAGTGGGGGGAGGAAGTTCAGCCGGTGGTGTGGGATGATGTGGTGGCAACAGGTATGAAGGGGGAGGTGCTGCTGTCGGAAATACGGGAGTTGGATGTGTGGGCTGCGGTGGCACGTGACATGGTTGGACAAACGTCCAAGTGGATGGTGTGCCGTAGGTCAGTGCAGTGGCGGTAGGGTTGGACAAAAACGGTGGTGGTTGAAATGGTTGTGGTTGTGGGTGAGGGTATGCCGATGGTTGTGTCGGGGGAAAAGTGGGTGCAGTTGATGGTTGTGGCATCGGCCATGTGGGTTGAGGTTGTGTGGTAGGTAATGGTGGTGGCGTGGTGTGAGCATAGGGCCACGGAAAATGCATGTCGTGGTCGTAGCTATGGCGCGGCGCGGCGCGGCAGCAAAAAGCAGCGGGGAAGTGCCGAGTTGTATTGTCTTGTTTGTTGTTGAAGGTGTCATCTCTGGTGTCGATGGTGAGTATGTTGTAAGGTGGTGCTAGATGTGAGCTTGTTGGTAGGTGTGTGTTCATGCATCTCGAATTAAGCTGAAGAGCTGTAATGCCCATCCTTGAGTTCTGTCAATGAAGGAATCGCGGCATCAACATAGAAAACATGGAAACACGCACATGATTGGAAGACATGAAAAAATCTGAATGCTGAAATCTGAAATCTGAAAGTGGGAATCCGAAGTATTCTTCAAGAACCGTTTTTTGGCCCGGCGGCCGGTGTGGCAGTTGATTCTGTGAGGGTGTCGCTGTGACGGGGATCACACTCAGCACCCGAGTGGGACGGCTGAGCGGGACACACTTTGACACTGGTTTTCCGTTAAAGCTCAATTTCTCCGATGAGAAAGAAGGTGATGGAACGGCATGGTGGAGAGCCTGAAAGACTTGTAGGTGTTTCAACATTGAAAGTTGTCATCTGCAGAAACACGCGAGCGACTGCGTTGAAAGGCTGCAAAAACCGCGTGGCTGCTGCAAGTGGCTGAAAGGAGAAAGGTTTGGGGGGAAGTATCATGAACCACCATGGAAACAAAAAAGGAGATTGGACAGCTTGTGCAAAAGTTGTGGCAGGTACACACCAAAGCGTCCTCTGGTGCTTCCCCTGTCACATCCCAGCTTCGTTGGGCCAGGTTGGATGTGACAGGCCTGGCCCCCCTGCCCATGTAAAGTGGTAAGAGTGGTGGTGGAAGACCCTTTGTCCAGGGTTGGACACACACACACACACACACATTCCTTGCAACAAAATTGTGATATTATGTATTCCCATATAGTTACAGTATTCAATTTCTTAATATGTCTTCCTCTTTGCCCTGTTACATCATCCATTTCAACCCAGCCTTTAGGACAGGGCATGCAAATGAAGGTGTCGCCCACGTTATCGCTCAAGGGCGTCGAATATGTCCCGGAGGCACAGGCCTGCCATGCCCACGTGGCTTCACTCTGAACAGGGCACGTCTTGGGAGGAACACTTGGAACCCCTCGTGCGGAGAACGCGTCTCAACCCATCGTGGGAACTTGGAGCTCATGAGCCCTACCGTGTAGCGGCTCTGAAGAGCCTTTCTGAAGACGGAGTAGACCTGAAAGGATGGACAGTCATAGATGATCGAACATGGCTGTCCATACATATTGCCATCGGCTTGTTCCACATTCCTGCTGCTTCACATCCTGATCTGCTGTATCATACATAATGACATATTGTTGTGAATGCTTACTGGGACGCTGCGATGACTCAAAGAACCGTTTGTGACCAAAGTCTCAATTGCCCCGATGATTTTTAGGCTCTGGCGAATGCCAGCGATATCCATTCATATGGAAGATTGGCATGGATTGGCATTCATATACAGTAAAAGGATCCTGGATCTTAAGGGCTGCAGGAATTTCAAGACTGTCAATTCTCACCAAACATCCAAAAAAGCTACCAAGGAGGAACCGAAAGACCAAAACGCCGAAGCCCCAAAGATGGACGGTTCTTACCATGTCCTTAGGTGCCCAAAACGCCAGATGCACAAGCGCACCTCGCCTGGCAAATGATCTTGTTCGTTGCATTCTCCCGAGCGTCCACGAAGTCTTTCAGCACCGAATCGTAGAGCCCGAAGCCCGGAAAGCATTGACTCTCATCAGGGATCCAGCTGCGCCAAACCTGCGAGACGAGTTGCAGTTGGAGTTTCGAAGGAGGAACAAATCCACGAACACGACTCAGGTGTTTGGAGGAGATGGAGAGTGCCTCAGAAGCAGGTGTTGGCTTTGAAAGAACCCTGGGGAGTTTCTCTAAATCTCGCTCAGGGATTCGCAGGGTAGAGGGCCTGCGAATCCTCCTCAAAGGATCATTTGGGCTTCTCGAAGCTCAGAAATCCATGGGATGCCCCCTTTTGGCATTTGTTGTTGCTTTTGCCGACTCAAAACCCTTCGGCGAATTCGACGTTCCCGGTCTCGCACCGGCTCGTTGGCCAGCAGCCATTTGCAGGTGGCATCCTCCCAGGTGGCTGACGTGTTCTTCTGGTCCAGGAGTATCTCATCCATTTGCTTCAGGGAGATCATGATGTTGCTCACGAAGCCTCAGTGACGTGACTCCTCGCCTATGGGCGGCTGAGAAAGTCCAAGTCCCATGTGTGACTATGAATGCTTCTACATTCTACGCAGCTGCTTCTTCCCGGTCACTTCTGCACTTGGGCCCGAAGTCCTTGACAGAACGACACAGCCCACATGAGGCGACTTCCCAGAAGTGATCCTACGTATCTTGAGAAAAACGGTGGATCCTGCGCATTTAGCCGGGATGATGCAGTCCAGAGTCATATATATTTAAGTATATTTGAAAGTGTTTATTCACCACCAGGAGCCTCAAGGCTACAAGACCGCCCTTGTTTAGTTGTCAAATCGAACAAAGCGGTTTCTTCCAGTGGGATCCCTTCGGACGTCTCATCTTGTCAACTAGGAATACATGATAATTTGGTGGCAAAACAAACAGCACAATTTCACTTGGTATGCTACGTCAGTGGTTCAAAACCCGCAGTGGTTTCAGGTTCAGGAAAATATGTTCCTGGTGCTCCAATGTTGTCACTTCTCTGTTCCTTTTGCAAGCGTGCTGACTCGCTGACATACAGTTGCTCTTCCTTGAGAACGAGAAACAGAACGTTGAGGCATAGTGAAGGAGGTTGATAAGGACATGGGTTTATTACTACTATTAATTACTATTACTATTCTCACAAACTTGATTGAACAAGGAGTGTTGACATGAAGGTCATTGTGTTTTCAATAAAGGATTCATGGTGAAGAACTGTGAAAGATATGTAGCATTTTTCCACACGTTTACCTTTTTCCCCTCATTTTTCTTCAGACTATTTCGGTCAGTCATTTCTCGAAAGCCAACCCGACGTTCGACTTTCGAATGCCTAGGAGCTTCGCACATTCGGAGCCAGAACCATCAGGTCCCTGCTCACAAGCTTCTTGATCGGAATGGATCCGAGCTGTGAAACCTGATACCCATTCGCCCATCCACGCTTGTCAAGGGGCGCCCATTGCATCATCTGTGGCGCCAGTTCCAGAAAACTGGGATCTGGCACCCACCAATACACTTGCATTTTTGGATAGTGGAATGGAATTTGGGTGTACTCAGTCCATCCAGCAGCCACTGCTAGGCCCAAGGGCATGTATAGTACGACGCTTTTTTGCATCATCTCCTCTATGGACCAGCCAGAGCCTCCAGTGACAAAAGGGACACATTGTGAAGCATTCCCACGACAACTTGGAGCTCTCCAAAAATAGCCATCTTGGCACTTCGCGTAGTATCGGCTATTGCTGGTGTTCAACACCAGTCCATCAAGATCGCCTGTGAACTGTATGTGCCGCCTCATGGTGGTATCATCCATGAAAACGGAGTCGCTGTTCATGCAAGGCTTCAACCATCTGGAAAGATTGAAGTCGGTGATCGTGTTTGTGTATTTGGAAGGTTCGTACCACGATGCCTGGGATTGGCCCGCCGGGATGAAACTCAGAATTCTCCCAAACCCTTTTTTAGTGAAGTGCTCATTGAACAAATCTGCTGGCCCCAGTCTGAGTGAGCGTAAATGCTACGTAGTTTTTGCAACACTGTTTTGTAAGACTGGCGCCAGCGACAAAAACAGCAACCCTTATGGCATCGCCAGTGCAAAGCTTTGCAACGCAAAGCTAGCTGTTGGGGGGATGTCAGAACGGGGACATTACAACAAATCACAACATCACACAAAATCACCTCATAAACTCCAAAGCACATTCCAAAATTTGTAGTACTGCAAAGCAATACCCTCCGTCTTGTGAGCGGTTGTGATGACCTCCTCTGTCAGGAAACTCCCGGCATAGCCCGCATAGCCCATGCTTCCAAGATCATCTGGTGCCGTTTTCGGGTGTTCGAGCTGAAGATTCTTCCACACCAAAGGATAGCCATTCACCCACGCCTCCATGTTGAGGTGATATTTGGTCGGCACCTCTGTCACAGGGGGATCAAACTTGAAACAATCTTGCTGTCTTTATGTGAGAAGACAACAAATGTCTTGCACACACAAACTCACTGCGCAAAAGAAGCACCAAACATCTACGGCTCCCTCCTCCCCGGCGCCCGCACGGGACCCATTCGCCGGCACATCTTTCACGTGGCTTGTCGTCTTTTGTTCTTTTTGGGGAGGCCGCGAAGATTCCGAGGGACACGTGGGTGCCGATGACGGCACCACGACTGCGGTCGAGATGCTTCAGTCCCACATTGAGGATCATTGTTGTCATTCGGATTGAGGCAGCCACCAACGCCATAGAACCCACTCACAGTCCCAGGGCCTGGGACAAGTCGCATGGGGCCAGCAGGCAGAACTGCAAGCAGAACAACGACGGTTTAATCATTGGATCGCCGAATGCTTGTTTCATCTTGTTTCATATTTCCCTGGATGTGGTTTCCCCAATGTTTGGGATAGCTCAGCATTGTCCACACCATGCTTTCAGAGTAAACTGGATGTTCCGTTTGTAGTTCCATTTAACAGAGTCAAGTGGCGCAAGTGGCAAACATTGGTCCACGGCCACATCAGGATTTCTTTTCGGGTTGCAACCCTCGAGTACTCTCGACTCGACTGAACAGGGAAACTCATGAAGGAAAGCAACTGGCAAACCTCGAGCTAACCTCAAGGAGCGTCAGCAACTGACTCATGATCTTCAGGACTTAACACCGGTTGCATCCACCTTGAAGGACCATTCAGAAGATAGCCACACTACCAATGGGATGGACCACCGACGGATGCTTCGGCCACCAAACACCCAACAAATTTCCCGAAACGAGTTGACCTATCCCTGCCTCCTCATGTAAACCATTACAATCCAAAAGACATTTACACAAGATTGAATAAAAGGTATGCACCTTGCATGGGTGGATGTCACCTAGACACCCAAGGGTTTCAGCTACCAGGTCCCCAGTTCTACCAGCTTCGACCAAGACTCCAAGGCCACTGGTTGTGTTGAACCCGAAGACTTCCTCCGGTGGCTTTGGTCCGCGAACACTTCCCGCTGTGGATCGGTGATGGTCGTTCGACTACAACTCAAGACGACCAAACCATTGATCGGGTCCACTTGGAATCCAGTGGGTTCCTCATTCTTGAACAATGGGTTCTTGGGTGTGATTGTTATTTTTGCTCAACAACTGTGGCTGTTGGAGAGTATGGGTAGTTATATAGTTAATATGTGTTGATGTCAACACATGTGCGTGCATCTTACCTTTGGGGCTCATTGTGATACTATCTGGGCTCTGTGTGTGCAATTTACTTGACTCATTGTGATACGTACCTTTGTTGTCTCCATGATAACCAAATGCATTTTGATATGACATGACATAGCTATTATAAAGCCTTCGTTATCTTTATGAATGTTCACGAAGCAGTTCATCATTCCATCTTTATGAAGAGAGTCTAAAGGTAGAGGTGAAGGGCCATGCCAAGCGATTCCAAGAAACAAACAAACTGACTCCAGCAGAACATACCAGAAGGGCGCTTTCACAGTGCCCCCCGCGATTCTGTTTCTCCTCGATGAGCACTTGGACCATCACGTTTGCGGCATACGAGGCGGCATAGTTGGCAATCCACACACCAAAGGGGTAGGACTCACCATTGCTGTTCTCCTGAGCGATTCGTTGTCATGGTCACGCGACGCCACGCGATTCACTTCAAGTGAACAGAACACCGGTGGCAACCTGATAGACGAGAGGTTCATTCGCTTCCCCCAACCCAAAGGCAAGAATTCATCCAAATGGGAGAGGTCGACCAAAACGGACTGGAGACCTTGCGTGGGTGATGTGGAACCTTGAACCTCCGACCGCACCCAGCTCAGTGATGCCTTGTAACTTCAGGCCCATCGAGGCTGCGACTTCACCTTGCTCTGGCTTTTGGTGTCCTTTGGTATCAGATATGTGCATCCTGCGTCTGTGTATCCTGGTAAGCCCCGGATCACCGAACAAGCCACCCAAATGGTGGTATCTTTAGCCATGCGCCACTTGGGTGAAACTGTCCAAGTGGCCAGCAGCTTTCGCTCGGACGGCGGGATGGCGTTGGGCAAGCACGCACCACCCGCCAAGGTCACCAAAAGGCCTTGGATCTGGCGATGGGACGCGCCCATATCGACTGTATTACTGTCTGGTGATAGGCCTGAAATCAGGATAGGTATGTATTTGTGCAAGAAGGGTATGTATAGGTCATGTTGTCCCCCTCGTGCCTCCGCGTGGGGCGATGTGAAAGCTGTCGCTGCTGTCAACAAAGCCACCAACAAAATGTCAAATCTCCATTCTTTTTCAACCAAGCACCATGTTTGTCAGGGCCCATCTTGATCCTGACAGGAACTTTGAAGAATTACAAACATTTAATGAACTATGTATGATTATGTATATATAATTAAAGTAAATCTATGGCGAGCTCAAATGCTCCATATCACTGAGATTTTGAGGGCTCTGGATACACCTCATGCATTTTGATCCATTTTGGATCAAACATATCCATCCTTCAAATTATCACCTTGGCCGATGCCCAAGCGGGGTGGCTGCGGAAACATCAACAGTCACGGGAAGATCATGAACAAAACTCATGTGTGTTTTGCTTTCTTATGGTTCCCGCAAAAACCATCTGTTATTTGTTTAAGGACTGTTGTTTCTTGGTGGCGATCTTCCCAGCTTTCACCCGTCCCTCACCGTCCCGCCAACCCGTCGTTCGTTCACCTTCTCGATCCAAGCAGCTGAGCAACATGCATCGAAACATGATTCTTCAAAAAGAATATGCCTCGTTTCACCCTGCTTTTCGTGCTCAAATGGCTGAGGATGAAGAATTCCTTATGAAGATAATAAGTCAACACCCCCACAAAGCAACTATGCGTGCAACATAGTTTGATTTGTCAACTTGACACAATGAAGGCGATATCTCCTCTGGACGAATGCCACAGCCAACGAATACCACTCTATTTAGTTGCACTATGCTTCACCGATGAATCGGATGAAGGTGGCAAATCCAACGTCCAATCCAACATCATGCTACACCTCCGTCCTCTCGAGAGAAATCATGAAGTTCGTATCCTTCCCACAATCAATGACATATTTGTTTGAGGGGAAGACCACATCCGTCCTCTCGCGAGTGACACCCTTGTTGGTCGGCCGCAGGATGGCCGACCTGAACGTCCGTCCCAGTCCTCCCGGATCCCGAGGCACCTCTCTGGTTCGGGATCACCTGAACGGGAGGAAACGGACCTCAAGCGTTTTCCCTGGATAATATGCATAATTATGTTACATAATCATGTATGTAATATACATATACATATATAATATTGTATAATTATAGAGAGAGATGCTCTTTCAGCAACTCAAACCCAATTGGTGTCTCTCAGTGGTTAAAGGACCCCCCAAACGCAACCTGGCAGTTCATGCAAACGAGACAATTGGAGTCACGTTTGTGATCGATGTCCCTGTGCGATCAACGTGGTTGTGTTGTCACTAAAGGCTTGGCCATGCTTATCACACAGCTTGGCCAGGTTGGTCTGTTTTCAACGCACAACTGAATCTGCTTTGGTCACGGCTCGAAACCTATTCGCACTGGCAAAAATCATCGTATAGATTTTAAGTGACTTCGAGAATAACATTATTTGTGGATCATCTTGGCAAGAAAAGTAAACGGCAGCTGGCTCTTGGCTCTTGGCCTCACATGAAACCACTCAAATTTTGGTCCCTCCAAGAATCGCATGTTCAAAGGCCACGTTGTGTGACGGTCAGCCCTTCAATTTGATGGTCAGCCCCGAAAGGCAACTAGGATGTGTATTCAAGTGATCTGCAAGCTTTGGCCAGGCATGCTGGGCCTGTGGGTGAAAATCAATCCTGCCTTCCGTTACTAAGAGGAATGGCAACACACAATGGTGAACCCCTTTCTTGTAACTCTGCGGTTGCATTCGATATGCATCTTCAGATCTCACCTATTGAGCATGGATTTGGGTGGGATCAAGGGTAAGCAATTGGTCCAAGTAGGAATTTGTTCGTACACCCGCGTCTGTGCCAGACTGGTTGAAGTTGTCGAAGCTGCTCATCTCTCTCTCTCTCTCTAAGTTGCACCTTAGAAGCCTGAACTAATATGTTTTACAGTAAAACATCACATATGCTTCGACCGAACTAAGCACCTCTATATAAGTTCATTGACCGAACCAACTTTCAACCCAACACCAACAGTCTCGAAAAACACGACGATTCTCTCCACCCAAGCAGCTAGGCCCGACGTGACCGACGAATCCGTCGCTCCTCGAAGGCAAATCCCTACAACACATTTGAACAAGTGGGATACTGATGCATTGGGATTATGTATGCTACAATATACTATACTATATTACTATATAACTACAGTATATACTATAGACTCTATACTACTCTGTACTACTCTATACTACTCTATACTACTATACTACTCCTACTCCTACTCCTACTCCTACTTTACTATTACTACTATTACTACTATTACTACTATTACTACTATTACTACTACTACTACTACTACTACTACTACTACTACTACTACTTTGGGTCACGCAGTTCCATGTTTCTTGGTCCATCAACCAAATCCGAAAATGATCAAAGCTCTCTGCTGATGCATGTTTGCTGACCAGGAGATTGGTTGTACCCACATCCCAATCGCAGCACACCAGAAAAGCTGCCTGGATCCTTAAGCGACCATGTGACTTATGGAAATCTCTGTCGGCAACCGGTACTCTGAGGTTTGTTGGCAAACCACCAGAGTCACAGCCTCTATATACATCAATCAGCTGTTGTATTGCTACCTGAAACGTTCAATCGTGAAACAGCTTCAGGCGAAAGAGTGGACATCGTTCGAACAAAAAACTTTTGGGACCTTGCTGTTGGGACCTTTCGCTACTAGTAAGAAGGACATTGCTACTAGTCTGTTCGAACAAAAAACTTTTGGGACCTTGCTGTTG